TCCCTGCTGTTAAGGACAATGGGCGACGTTTCCCTAAAGGCTTGCAGTCATGGTTTGGTCCCTGTAGGCTGGTTTACACCCTACAGATAATGGTGTCTATAGTGAGCCCCAGAACAGGTCAAACCAACTCAGTGACATCCAAATTAGGCTGCCATCCTGAATCTAGGATATGCCCTTCTTGTCACATGTGTGCCCCAATGTCTCCTCTTCCTATTGCGTGGATACCCCTAGGTCACCCCCCTCCCATTACAACCCTTTCCTGTGATGTATGTCCTCACCTGTAATTAGGGAGCTTGCATGTCCCCAGAGACTATAAAAGCCTTGGTTAGTAATAAAGATCTTTCCTTCTCTCCATGTGGACCACCGAGTGAGGCTGAGGTGAGCAAGCTACTATCGGAGCCTGCCGACGAGTCGAACGGTCCTGAAAGGGGGAGTGAGGATTAAGGAAAAAAAGAGACAGAAAGTATTGGGAGGGCAACAGTGACTACTGAAGCCCCGAGTTTACTCTATATCTTCCTTTTATACATGCAGAATCAACCTGGGGTTGTATTTTTCTCATTGTTAAGCAAGCACATTGGATACACATCAACAACTCTGTTTTTCCAAACCAAGCATCCTTGAGAAAAGTAACCATCCTGATTTCCCAGAACTCGCAAACGTCCTTGTTCTTTTTCTTAGTCTCAATGTCAAGCCGCAGAAGCAAACAGTAGATACTGACACCTGGGTCGTGAGACTTCTCAGCCGTTTCAAGGCTGAGTCTTAATGGCCTTCAACAAGCTGCCAAGAAATGTGTCTGACTCCATTATTTCAATCTCTCTTCTCTCATGCTTTCTATGACTTTACTATAATATTTACTTATTATCGCTGTGCAATTGTGCCTACTGCACCTGTGATGATGTATTAGGGGCTGGTTAACCCTGACAGTGCTGGTGGGTTTGAACTGTGGGCCTGGCAGTGATCAACCACCATGTAACCCACGGTGCCACCATAGCTCTTTAAGGAAGTGAAAACCCAAACACACCTCTGAGTCCATCCCTACCCATGGTGACCCTCTAAGACAGGAAAACTGCCCCCGTCGGTTTCCGAGTCTATAGCTCTATAGGAGTAGAAAACTTCAGGACCCTAGAAAGCAGTGGTTCTCAACCTGTGGGTCGCGGTCCCTATGGGGGTCAAATGACCTTACCCAGGGGTTGCCGAAGACCATTGGAAAACATGTATTTCCAATGGTCTTATGAACTGAGACAATTTCATCTATCC